CAAGGTTAAATGCTCTACCCACTGTGCTATTGCTCCAGCCCAAAAAGAAAGAAAGAAAAAAAAAACTTGGACCAAAGAAGCATTCCTCACAACAACCAAAGAGTGGAAACACCTTTCTATCCACACCACAGACGAACAGAGCCAGTAAACCAATGCGGACATACGGACGGGCATGAACAGGAAAAGTCATGAAGAGCGACCCTGGTGAGTCTTGGGCCAGGAGGACAGCTGGTACAGGCATCAAGGAGTTTGCCTTGCATCCTGCTAATCCCTGTTTGAATTCCCGCCACCTCCTGGGATGCCCCTCCCCCCACTCCCAACACCATCAGGAGCCACTGCTGCGCCAAGAACAGCCCAGAACAGTCCCCTTGGCTACCACTGATGTGGCCCAACAAACAAAAACCACCTTGGTAGATCTTGAAGTTATTATGTCAATGAATGAAGCTGCTCCATAACAATACCACCCATTGTGTGATGCCATTTACAAGGAATGTCCCTAAAAGCAAATTATGGCAGAAGAAATCTATTGTGACAGGGAAGACTGGACAGTTGTTGGGGCAGTTGTTGGGCCGGGCTGATGGAAGAGGAAAGCGAGGGGCGGGGGGGTGTGGATTGGCCCGGACTTTCTCCTGGGGGTGAAGAAACTGTTCTGGAATTAATTTGTAGTGCTGCTTACACAATCTTGTGAATAAGCTAAAAACCAGTGAATTACACTTTAAAAGGGTGAAGTTTATGGTTTGTAAATGAGATCTCAAAAAATTGTTTGCAGGGCTGGAGCAATAGCACAACGGTAGGGTGTCTGCCTTGCAGACGGCCGACCCGGGTTCGATTCTCAGCATCCCATATGGTCCCCTGAGCACCACCAGGAGTAATTCCTGAGTGCAGAGCCAGGAGTAACCCCTGTGCATCACCGGATGTGGCCCCCCAAATTGTTTGCCTCTCCCCTCCAAAAAATAATGAACTGCTATCTGCCATTGGAACCCTTCCCCCGCCTTTTCTACAAAGAAAGAGTGTCACTGAATGCAGCCTTTAGTCTGGCTGGGAAATGCTTCATTTCAAAGTTGTGCAGTCAGCCTCTGGTGTCCCCTCATTCTACCCACCTGGGTCAGGCCATTTCCAAAAGCTAGGCCAAGATGGAAAAAAAAAGGCACTAAACGAAGCCACTTTCCAGAAGACAAAGAATGTCATTTAATGTCAGAGAATTCCAAACAGCAAGAAATCCTTCCGCCCAATCACTTAAAAGAGCAGGTGAGAATGTTTTTAAACAATGAGGCTTGGGAACCCGCGTTCTCAGTGGCAGTCCGAGGAGGGGAAGAGGAACTGTACAATTACCAGATGCAGTGTGGGTCTCTGAGGCCTGCAGGGCAGCCCCTTCCCTGACTCCTTGGCACAGGAATAAAGGAACTTGGAAAAAGCCCTGGCATAACCTTAATCTCAGGATTTGAGCTAACACTGTCTTCTCCTCCCAGGACCAGAATGACATAATCACGAGAAAAAATATACTCTAACACACATACACTTCACTTCTCCTCCCGGGTCTTGCTCACTCCATTCTTCTTAGCCAACTGAGGCTGACGATGACTGACAGATGACTGAGTGCTCACAAGTGGTGGTCCCGGGGGTTGAGTTACAAAAGTGGCGCTGAGCCCCGACTCAGGGAGGAGAGTTCAGGCATCCATTAGTGATGGCTGACCTGGTCACAGCATCACTACAAGGGTTTCTCTTTTCATTTCTCTAACCTTTTCTTTTCTTTTCTTTTCTTTTCTTTTTTCTCTTCTCTCTTCTCCTCTCCTCCCTCCCTCCCTCTGTCTCTCTGCTTTTTTGCTTTTGGACCATGCCTTGTGGTACTCAGGGCTTACCCCTGGCTCTGTGCCCAGTGTCCACTCCTGACAGTGCTCATGGGAACCACACAGGATGCTGGAGAGGAAGCCTGGGCCAGCCGTGTGCAAGGAGAATGTCTAACCCAGCAAGGGTATCCTGGTGGGTACTCTAGTTCCACTGTATGGAATTCGATTGTCAAACCCCCTCATTTTAGAGTTGAGGAACCAGATTCAGAAAGCTTAAGGGATTTAAGACCCTACACGAGTCACGGGGAGCTGGGATTGCTACTCCGGTCTTCCACAGTAGAAATCAGAGAGACGTCCTCTGATCTTCTAACGAGACAGGGACAAACAATAAGACATGGCCGCAGCCTGTGTAAGTAGAAGTCACCTGCAAGGTGTCCAGAGAGTTTCCTGATCTTCTCTAAGCTTAAATTCAAACTGCGGAACAAAGGAAGGAGCAATATACACGAGCATTTGCCAAGGACATCCTCCTCTTCCCATCTCTTACCAACCCTCCTCTTCCCATTGCATCCAAAAGCTGTTTTCTAGCCGCCATTCCCAAGAGTTAACCCAGGTTTACAATCTGTGACTAGTGGAGACTTGAATATTGTCTGAAATGAAGTGAGAGAAGAAAAAGAATTTTTTTCCCCCAAGACGAATCACATCCAAATAGCAGGGGGTGAGGCGGAGAGACGGTACAGTGGTAAAGACACTTGCCTTGAACACATCTAACCCAGGTCAGTACCCGATACCGCTCATGGTCCCCTGAGCATGGCTGGGAGTGACTCTGAGTCCAGAGTCCGAGCAGCCCCTGAGTACAGCCAGGGATGACTCCAAAACCAAACAAACAGGGCCAGGGGGAGAGCACATGCCTTGCTTGCATGAGGCCCTGAGTTTGATCCCTGGCTCTGAATTTCCCTCTGCCACCCCCCACACCAGTGGAGTTAGCCCTGGTGGTCCCCAAGCACCGCTAGGCCACAAAGAGTCCCGCCTTGCCAGACCAAGCACCTACACTCCAGGCCTGACACCACTGAATAAAGGATCCCTGTGAACGGCCTCCAGCTGGGGAGCCCCCTGTAAAAGTACATCAGCTTAGGGAAGCCCCTTGACATGCACCATTGTGACTCTGACCTGCAGCAAAACAGCTGGCTGGCGCGATAGCACTGAGGGGAGGGCGTTTGCCCTGCATGCGGCCGACCCAGGTTCCATGCCCGGAATCCCCTCTGGCCCGCTGAGCACTGCCAAGAATGATCCCTGAGTGCAAAGCCAAGAGTAACCTCTCAGCATCGCCAAGTGTGACCCAAAAGCAAATAAATACATAAATTAAGCTGGGCATGGCATGGGGAAAGCATCTTTGTACGGTGAGTCCCTGTCGGCCTGAAAGCGGCTCCAAGGTGAGAGAATTTCAACTGTCCAGAGACCCGAGAGGGCCAGGGCAGGAAACACCACAGTCAGCTGGGGAAAAGGGGACTAACAACCCCCTTAGCTTCTGTCCCAGCCAAAGAGGGGCACCCACCCCGCCCCTTAGCACAGTGATCACTCAATCCGTGGCTGGAGGGGCCAGTGGGTCGTGCCCGGGGCTAAAGAGGGCCACTGGAAAGAGGGGGGAGCAAATTTTGCAGCTCTACACCCCAGAGCGGGATTCTCGGCTAAGTTCCAGGTACTGCCTGATCTTCAGATTTTTTTTTTCCCCAGATAAAATGGGAATCTAGGTTATGGGAAAACTGGCTATTCCAAAATGATGGCTGGGGATACAGGTTGGCAGTTAGGGCTCGTGTCTTGTCTGGAGAGGCCTTGGGTTTGATCCCCAGTATCAATTAATAAATAGTGATCAAATGATTGCTAGAAACCAAACAAAATAAATGCCCAGGACTTGGCTCAGCCTTCCAAGCGTGAGGCCATGAGTTTGAACCCCTGTGCCCCACACATGCGCCAGCTCGTCCATTCCTGTGGCAGTCCCGTGTGGGATCCCTGGCTCCAGAAGGAACATGTATGAGCACAGGTGCACAGCCAGGTGTGTGCAAGCACCACAACTAAAGAGTGTGAGCCCAGGCGAGCACTGCCACCCCGCTGGGCAGCGTGTTGACCACAAGCCACACCCCCTAGCAAGCACTGGAGCGTGTTGGAGCACCGCTGGAGTGTGCAAGCCCCCGCCGAGGCCCCCGGGTAAGAGTGTGGGACCCCTCTGTCCCAACGACAAAAGCAGAGGGAGGCAGAGAAACGGGAAGAAGAAACAAAATTGAACAAGCCCTCCTGAGAGATGCACATTCAGGAACTTTGGGCCCTGGACGCAGGAAGCCTCGGGACACACTTTCTTCAGAACCGACAGGACATCCGCTGGGGACTCTGGCACGGCCAGTCTGCTAGTGTCCTGCAAGCCACCAGCTCCTGCTTCCAGCAACTTCCCCTCCCTCCGCCTGTCACACTCCCGCAGGACTTGGCTGGCGAAAGAAATTCAAAAATAGTCTCTCCAGGGCCCGGAAAGGCAGGACAGAGGGTAAGGTGCTGGCCTGACCCCTGCAGAGGGTCCCTCGAGTGCCAACAGGAGTGCTCCCTAAGCACAGAGCCGAGTCAGCCCCGGGCAGCGCCGGGTGTGCAGCCTCACCCCTCGACACCGCCCCCCCGCCGCCCCCCAGGGCCTGTCCATCTTCTCGCTAGCCCTAGGGACAGACGCAGCGTTGAAGCCCTTGTGCCAAACATGCCAAGGGTAAGAGGTCACGCCCAGTGCAAAGGGAAGCTGAAAAAATCAAAAGTTCAGAGTAAGAAGTCAAAAAAGAAAAAGCCCAGGCGAACTCCTGCGCACAGGCTGGCGAGCAGCCAGCGGGGGCGCGCGGGGGACCCCCGCGGGTTACAGGTGTAGCCGGGCACCCCCCTCGGGCGGCGGCAGGAGCGCGGAGCCGGGGCCCGGCGGGCGCGGCAGGTAGAACCGGACCGCGCGCGAGTTCGGCCCGATCGCGCTGCGCCAACACCCGCACCCCGCACCCGGGCCGGGCGCGCAGCCCCGCGCGCGCCTCCTCGATTGGCCCAATTCCCAGCCCGCACCCCCGTCCCCCAACTCCCCGCCGAGCGCCCCGGAAGATTCCTTCCCGCAGAGCGCGCGGCGGGGCTGGAAACGGCGGCCCGGGCGCCCGGCGGGCCGAGCGCGGCTCCACTTCGGCCCCGATCGCCGCCGCTTACCTGCGGCCACCCGGCCGGCCAGCAGCGCCCCGAGGCAGAGCAGGAAGCGGGCCATCTCGCCTCCGCCGCGGACCGGCGGGGGCCCGGGGAAACCCGGGCTCGGGGCGGCGGGGCGGGCTGCGGGACGCCCCCCGCAACTCCCGCCGGCCGGGCACCCGCGGGCGGCGGCACTCGGCGCAGCAGCGCCCGCTCGAAGGATGCTGGGGTCAGCCCGACGTCCGCAGCGGCAGCGGTGCCCGCGCCCGGGCGCGACTTCGGTCTCCCTCCCTCTCTCTCCTCCGGAGCGCCCGCGGCGGCGGGTGGGCGCCGGGTGGGCGAGTGGGAGGGCGCACCCCGCCCCCTGGGCCCGTCACCCGCTCGGGCGGCGGAAAACAACAGGCGCGGGGCTGCCCCCCGCCTCCCCGGCCGGCGGGAGCCCGACTTCCTCCACCTAGGCGGGGAGGAGGGCGCTCTGCGAAGAGCGCGCCCCGGGCCAGGCCGGCGGCCGGGGGAGGAGCAGCCGGGGCCTGGCCGCGTCCACTCCGCCTCCCGGACGGCCGCCCGCCCGCCCGGCCGCCCCGGGCGCTGCAGCGCTGCCGCAGGACGGAGCTCGCGCGCCGGGCCCGGACGGACGGACGGACGCCGCGGCCACCCGGCCAGCCGGCCGCCGGGATGCGGAGCGCCGGGCCCCCTCGGACGACCCTCGCCGTTGCTTGTTTGCTGCTCGCCTGCTCGTTTTTCCAGGCTGGGCGCGGCCCGGGGCCGGGGAAGGCGATCCCGGGAGATGTCCCTGCGCCGAACGCCCAAGGGACCGCGGGGGTCTCTGCCCGCCGGGGAGCGCGAGGGCCGGGGCGGCGGAACCAGCTTCTCTCGGGCGCCGGGCGTCCCCCCTTCCCCCCGCCCCGTCCAGCCACATTCCAGGCTGAAAAGCTCTTTCCCCTGCCACGCCCCCATCCCGTCCCTCAGTTCCTAGGGGAAACACATTTGGTGATTCTTTGGAAGAGCTGACACTTGGAAACAGCCCGGCCAGAAACTTGCTTGGAAAAAAAGAGAGAGAGAAAATCTGCGCAGTCAAAATCGTCCCTGAAAACCCTGAGAAGTGGATGTGGGCGTCCCGGTCTTCCAACTTTTCTGCACGTAAAATGGGGGAGGGAGACACAGAAACTGCTATGACGAAAACCTCCGGGAGTCGGAGATGGCTCCGAGGGCTGCGCCTGATGTCTGGCGCGGGTCCCTGAAAGGGGGCTTGCCCCCACCCCAAAGACCATCAGTTCTGTTACCCGAAGGCCTCCGATTGAAAATACTTCTTACATGATGAAATCCTCATGAAACCAATAAAAAGCGTGTTTCGCCCAATGAACTGGGCCATAAAGTTCCACATTTCTTCCCTTTTCCCCAACTCTTTTCACTCATTGATTTTTAACTCTTCAGCCAACTTCCTGTCTTCCCTGTCCCTTTCCTTTTGTTTTTTATCCTCTACGCCTCGTGATGGAAAATAAATTCTCTCCTAGGCGCGGTCCCCTTCCTGTTTCCCACTGCCTGTCACCCCCTTTCCACTATATATATGTGTGTGTGTGTATATTCCACTATATACTGCATATATATATATGTGTTTGTGTGTGTATATATATATATATATATATATATATATATATATGCAGAGGAAGCCATTTGGTCCCAAGCAAACCTTAAATCAAAATGTTTTGGATGTGGCAGTTTCTCGAGCTTTTCTGGCAAACACTTCCCATCCTAACCCGAAGTTAAGAGAGCGAGCGTGAGGCCCAGGAGAGTGTGCCGAGGCAAAGGTCTTTGCCTTTCACGCAGCTGACTCTGGTTTGATCCCTGAGCAGTGACCCTTGAGAGCAGGCCCTGGATAATCCTGAGAAAAAGAGGTGGCAGTAGGTGAAATGCGGGACGTTTTTCAGCAGCAGGTCTGGAATCCTCCAGGACCCTGGTGGTGCCTGGAACAGGAGATTAAACAAAGTAGCCCGTCCTGATAGGCCAGGAAGACCATTTCCCCGTATCCCCAGGATACGCCTTGCATTTGCAAAGCTTTTTCTTTCTTTCTTTTTTTTTTCTAAGTCACTGATCCACCCCCTGTGACGGAAGGACAAATGCAATCCAATTTTATGAGCGAGAAGTGACCAACTTGAGGCGTGAGCTCCAGGTCACAAAACTAGCTGATGGGAGAGCCAGGAGGGGAAGCCAAGGCCCGGCTGTCTCTGGGCCCTGCCAATGAAAAGTTTCACTCTGGTCACCTCCACTAAGGCTGAGGAGGCCCATGTGCTGGGGTGTCTACGCCAGAAGGAGCTCAGCCACTCTGTCTGGGACACACCCACCCTCTGCAGGCTGTCACCGAGCCTGAGTCACAGGCTTAGGAAGTGCCCTGCCCTGCCCCTTTGAGGACAATGCCATGCCTCTAACGAACAGGGACCAGGGAGTGGGTGTGGGTCCCGGGAGGGGGGAGGGCAGCTCCTGGCAATAGAGGGATGGAGGGGTTTTGGTGCCCTGCAGGGCACCTCAGAGCTTCGTGGGGTTGTTGGGGTGCTCAAGTGAGGTGGCCCGCTTGGCGGGATTCAGCAGAGGCACTTTAAGGCATTGTTTTGAGGCCAATCACAGAAGCTGCACCCCAGGGAGCCTTTCAGGACCCCTCAAGCCCACCATCACAGACTAAACATGGGCTCTCCCCTGTCTTGACTCAGGCTGTGGCATGGAGCAGGACTGCCTGGGGTCGCTTTCTCGTCCCCTGGAATTGACACATGCCTACTGGAGGTCTGTCCTGACAGCGATTCACTCTCGTCCCAGTCCAGAGGGGCTCAGGGAGGCCACGTTGCATGACAGCCAAAGGGAAGTGGGGGGAGAGAGCCTTGGTCTGAACTTGGGCCTGAGGCCAACAGGTCTTGTAAGAACAGACCAGACTTAAGTCCAGCGTCGAGCTGGAATGACCGTGAAGCAGGCAAGCTGCTTGCCTTGCGTGTGGCAGCTCTCGATTCAATTCCAGGCACTGCATCGGATGACCAGAGCACCACTGCTAGCGACTCCAGAGCACAGAGCTGGAAGTACCTTCCAAGTACTGCCAGGTATGATGAACTAAACTTCCCTCACCCTCTCCTCCCAGAAAAAAAAGGACAAAACAGATGGACTCCACTGCCAGGCTCCAGCGCCTGGGTCTTTGAAACCCTCGAGAAACCAATTATTTTCCTTCCTCTTGGCTTGTCACCTCCCTAGAGGCCAAGCTGATCTGTTTCTTAGCAACAACCTGCTTCTCCCTTTCCCAGAGGGATGGTCTCCTGGGAGCTTCAGAATGGGACCAGCCATCTGCCGGGGCCCAACACCAAGGAACTGGCATCTCTGCTGGGTCTGGATATAGCAAGTCAAGAGGTGCTCAGAGCTGGTCAACAAAACCTGTGCGCTCTTAGATGAACTGCGGACAAAAAGACTCGCACCTCCAGACACAGCAGAGCAATAGCCACCCGTCTCCTTTGCAGGAGAAGGAAGTTCCCACCGTTTTCGTTAACACCATCTTTTCCCACCTCCCTTCCGCCTTCCTCCCAGACAAAAAAAAAAAAAAAGATTGGGATGCAGATAGAAGATAGAAGACGAGGAGATGTTCCTGAAACCTGGCAGAGATCCCAGAAGAAGGTGGCAGTGGAAGATGGAAAACGGAACATAAAAAGTTGGCCAACGCAGTTCTCTCCACCTCACCCAGAAGGGAAAATGCAGAGGGGTCAGAAAGACCATCTGGTGCCCTGAGGAATGAATGGGCAGCCAGGGGCTGAAGAGGGGTGCCTGGCTCAGCCCCTACCCCTGTGCCCCCGACGGAGCAAGGCGGCCCAGGTGGGTGTGTTCTGGACTGTGTTAGCCACAGTCTCTCTGACCCATTGTGTGTACGCTTCGAAGGGAGTTGTGGTGAGTGTGTGGGCCCGGGTGTTTGTTTCCACTGTGGAACTATTTCCACTGAGCCAATTTTCAGCTACTGCTCTGAAGTTACTGAGCCATAAGCACCCTCAGTAATTCCGACCCAGTCCCACTGATGAAACCTTTATGAGACAATTAGGAGAATTTTTGGGTTTGATTGTGGGTCACACTTGTTGGTGTTCGGGGGGTTACTCCTGGCTCCGTACCCAGGAATCACTCCTGATGGGGCTCAAGGGGCCATACGGGATGCCAGAGATTGACTCTGGGTGGGCTGGTTGTATGCCAGGCAAGTGCCCTGCCCACTGTACTATCTCCCCGGGGAATTATCACCCAGGAGGAGACCCGGAGGACCTAAACAGATGACTCCAGGAGGAAATCTTGCCTCCACTGTTTTTAGGTTTCTTTCAATTATTTTCCCCCATTTTTATTGAGACACTGTGATTTACAGTACTGTTTTTGTTTGTGTAGTGCTATACCTGGCAGAGTTCAGGGTTTCCCCCTGGCTCTGTGCTCAGGAATCACTTTCAAAGGACCATTTCCCCCCCAATCAAAAGCATAACCTGTTCAATCTAGAAAAAAGCACGGTCACGGTCACGGTCCTCCCATTGTTCATCGATTTGCTCGAGCGGGCCCAGTAACATCTCCATCGTGAGACCTGTTGTTACTGTGTTTGGCATATTGAGTACGTCACGGGTAGCTTGCCAGGCTCTGCTGTACGGGCGAGATACTCTCGGTAGCTTGCCAGGCTCTCCGAGAGGGGCGGAGGAATCGAACTCAGCTCGGCCATGTTGGCTGCGTGCAAGGCAAACGCCCTACCGCTATGCTATCGCTCCTAGCACAGAAAAAAGCAAACCTAGAAAAATAGGAAAGAAAACATAACCAACCGCAGTCTATCTAGAAGTACTCACTATGACGATTAGAAATCTCTAGTCATTTCTGCTGAGTTCCAAGGCGTGTGTGGTTTTTGTTTTGTTTTTTTTTAAACAAACCTGTGATGGCATTTTACACAAAGTTTTTATTCCTGCTTTCCCCTTAACTTAATATTCTGAGACTTTCCCCCCTTCAACTTAATATAGGTTATAAAAATATTTGGACAATTGTCTTTTAACATTTGTGGTGCTTTTGTGGTGCCAGGGATTGAACTGAGTTCTTACACAA